CTCTCCTTGCTCAAGTGATGCGATTTTCAGGCGCCCCAGGAGTTGTCTATGGTGTAAAGCAACAGGCTCACTCACTGGTCACTCTACACCATCACCTCACTCGCTGCTCTCACCTGCTGGTAAAGCTCAGCCGCTAAGCACTGAGATAAAAGTCACCTTGTTGCGAAGCTAGTGAGCGAGGTGACTTTTGAGTCGACTAAAAAGTCACCTCGTTGCGAAGCTACTGAGTGCGGCCATACATCCCTAGGCGATCCTTGTGACCCTTTCCCAAGACTTTAGGCGCTAAGTCGAGTTTTGAGTCGACTTATAAACCCGGCTGATCCCCTGCAGGTTAGTGCTCTTCCAACGTCACCAACCTGCAGTTTCCTTGTGAGAAGTCAACCACGTGAGACCAAGTCAAACCAGGTCATACTCCATACAAAGTTATACCAAGTTCGAGTGAGTCAGATCAAGTCAAGTTAAACTAACTCAGACGATGTCAAACCAAGCAGACCAAGTCAGATCAAGTCAGGACAAGTCAAACTCAAGACTTGAGATTTCCCTTTTCCCTTTCTCCACTTCAACTCCTCTCATCCTCGCAGCAACACCACCGACCAGAGCCTAAGCTGCCTGCCGCTACCACCAGCACTGCCCCCATCACCTACAGCAGCAGCAGCAGCAGCAGCACTGGCAGTGCCAGCAGCAACACCAGAGGCAGTCTCCCCTGCTGCACGTCTGCTCGAACCATTACCATGCAGGCCGGAAATCAGCCGGATGGAGAACACTCAGAGCCTCTTCTGCCTGCAGTGCTCTGCCTTCTGCTCCGCCTGCAGCAGTTTATATGGTAAGGAGGTATATAGCTTAAGAATGGTATAAAGCATGGGCTCAGCAGCAGCACGAGGGGCAGTCTCCCCTGCTGCACGTCTGCTCGTACCATTACCATGCAGGCCGGTAATCAGCCGGATTCAGAACACTCAGAGCCTCTTCTGCCTGCAGTGCTCTGCCTTCTGCTCCGCCTGCAGCAGTATGTATGGTAAGGAAGGAGGATACAGGCGCCTCAAAACTCTGCAGCAGTATGTATGGTAAGGAGGTATATATCTTAAGAATGGCTTATAGCATGGGCTCAGCAGCAGCACGAGGGGCAGTCTCCCCTGCTGCACCTCTGCTCGTACCATTACCATGCAGGCCGGTAATCAGCCGGATCGAGAAGACTCAGAGCCTCTTCTGCCTGCAGTGCTCTGCCTTCTGCTCCGCCTGCAGCAGTTTGTATGGTAAGGAGGGGTGTAGCATGGGACTAGGCGAGTATAATTAAGACTCACATGCAGCAGTTTGTATGGTAAAGAGGGTATGTAGCATGGGACTAGGCTAGTATACTTAAGAGTCGCATGCAGCAGTATGTATGGTAGCATGGGACTAGGCGAGTGGTCTCAAGAGTATGTTGCGTGTTCTGCCTCAAGGTTTGTCGGCAGCAATGCCCCCCTAGTAAGAAGGGTATGCAGCTGTCAGCCTTTCACACAGCGTACACTGAGACACCGGGGTGAGCTTTGAGTCGACTCAGAAGTCGCCTGCTGCTGTATAACTGATGGGGATACAGTGCTACGGTGGAGCACAACTGCTGCTAGTTTCTGTGTATTGCACCTTAGAGCACAACACCGCACAGCACACAGCATGGCACAGCAAGGCACACACAGCACAGCACAGAACAGCACAGCACATCACATCACATCACATCACATCACATCACATCACATCACATCACAGCACATCACATCACATCACATCACATCACGTCACGTCAGATCACGTCACATCACATCACATCAGCTTAGGACCTGTCACCTGATTGGCAAGCATAAGGGCAGATCCTGAGCGTCTTATGCTTGGATTGAGACGTCTCAAAACTCACCTGAATGGCAAGCAGAAGGGCAGAACCTGAGCGCATTATGCTTGGAACGTGGCTCTACCTTAAGAAGCATTCGCAGTCAGAGTGTGATTGAACACATAAACCCAGTAGGCGATTTCGCCATGTCGTTTCTTGCAGTGCGTTTTGATGGTTACAGAGGAGTTGTTTCATCCACATGGTGTGCCTATGTGGCTTCTGTAACGTTGAATTCCTTCCTACATAACGTTGCTCCAAACTCTATACGAGAACGTATATACAAATAACCTGATGTGTTGAGCTCATATACGTGATGTGTTGAGCGTATCTACGTGATGTGTTGTTTTTCACTAACCTTTACAAATAAGCGTTTCAATATACTTATCTTTCTATTCTACCTTGCTGCGGTGCCCTACTCTTCTACAGAATATGATACACGTGGCCTTCCACCCGTTTCATCTCCTGCTGCTCCAGTTCCATCTGCTGGCCCACCAGTTTCATCTGCTGGTGCACCAGCGTCAGCAACAGTACCAACTCCACCGCCGTCAACACCAGGACCAACACTTGCATCACCACCACCATCACCAGCACCACCGCCAACATACTCCTCTCCTGTCCCCTCCCCTTCATCCCCACTCTTTCTAGCCCCACCACCAGCTCTACAGCCACTTCCCCCTTCCCCTCTCCCTCCTCCTCCTCTCTCTCCTCCCTACCCAACGTCACCTATCAGCATCTCAACGGGTGTAATAGCAGTGGTGGCGTTGGCAGCACTATGCGTTGTCGCTGTTGTTGCTGTTCTTATCTTCTGCCTGTGCAAGTTGTACCAGAAGCAAGGCCACCCTCTACGCACCAACTGTAAGAGTCCTGGGTCCGGCCCGGGAGATGCATAACCACCTTTAGTGAGCGCTCTGTGCTGTCACTGCTGTTGCTGCTCTTATTTTCTGCCTGTAAAAAGCTGTGCTGGAGGCAAGATTGATCCACACGCCAAGTGTAAGAGCCCTGATTTGGGACATGTGTGATCATTCCTAGTAGTTTCCTGGGGGAAGCATCACCAGGGACAAGGCTTTTGAGGCGCCTTTTGAGGACTTTTGAGGCGGCTCAAAAGTTGATTGTTTTTCCTGGGGGAAGCATCACCGGGGACAAGGCTTTTGAGGCGCCTTTTGAGGACTTTTGAGGCGCCTCAAAAGTTGATTGCTTTTCCTGGGGGAAGCATCACCGGGGACAAGGCCGGTCCCTAAAAGCCATGAAAGGGACTGGAGAGCCTCGAAAGAGACTCGAGCCTCTTTTTTGAAGAAGCGAGAGAGTGACTTGATTAGGGTCTGAGACTGAGTTAATTCAACTGAGTTGATTAGGGTCACGAGTCACAAGTCGAGTTGATTAGTTAATTCGACTGAGTTGAGACTGAGTCACAAGTCGAATTTCTATGGTGCAACTCAAGCCTTTTGTTAAGTTGAATCATAGGTATTCGTAATTGGTGTCAGTGTCATAATGTCATTTGGTA